AAAAAAAAAAGTAGTTTCTTGTCCTAATATTTTGAAAAAAAGGTGAATGAGGGCACTCGTTTTTTTAACACTCCGAGATGGCAAATCCAAGATGGTCGATGGAAAACAGCTACTACTTTCTCACTTTCACCAAGTAAACACATTGAAAGCAAATAAAAGAAGCACTAGACATGATTTATACCATATGTATCCCAACCACGAACAAGAGGAATTTTACTGATGTGAGTTGTCCAGATTTTTGTACATTGTGAGGCAGAGAAAATGGATGCGCAAGAGCACGAGAAACTATTTTTTTTTTTTATTTGGCCTTAAATAAGTAGCACAGAAAAAAATGTTTCACATAATTTTTCAAAATTTTCAAGGTGATGAAAAGTAAGTTGTAATGTGCATCGGATGTTTTCCTTCCGGAGGGTAAAGTACAAAGTGCCACAAACTTTATCGAGAACAAAAGAATTTTATACCTGGGAAGGCAATACAAGAAATCAATCATAATGCGGTAAAATAATTTAACTTATGGTACTGTATATGCTTGGTGTACGTGCAGGGGTAAGAAAGAGGTTATCAAACAACAAAAGATATGAATACAATAAAATGAAATTATATATTACTTGTTTTTATCATTTACTTTTTATGCAATAAATGATTTTTAATAATTTAATACTGATATTAAATAAATCTTATAGGCATATAGATAAATATTAAATAAAACCTGAACCTCTTTCAATAATTTAAGATTAAGCTTGCCTGAGTATATTTTTCTTTGTAAAGTTTATTCAATTAATATCTATTATTGTCTATTTGCTTTATTATGGGTATGAAATTCTGAATTATTGCACTAAACTAAACTTTATATATCTATACATCATGTTATGCTGTTATTTTCCCCATTTTCAATGTTGAAACAACAATTTGGGGATGGCTTCTGCCTAAGAAATGCCCAAAATCGTAAACTTTGAAGGCTGATTTCTCAAATATTGTTCTTTAAACAGCTGTATGTTTAAACACAACGAAATGTAACTTCATAACGAAATGTTGGATTTAAATTATTCTTTTATCATTTCATAGCTCTCATTTTACTGTTTAACCCTGTATTAATAACTAAAAATCAATTTTTGTGACAAGTGACTGGTTTGGCTGGCCTTTGTTACATATAAAGATCTACCAATTGCCACCACAGAAAGACTATCTCTCAAACAGGGTAATTTTTGTCAATATGTGACCTATTTTCCAAGGTTGTTTTTCTGGGGCAATCTTTGCCAATATTCTACCATTATAGTAACCTAACATACACAACACAAAATTATTCAATCCTAACAACTTGAATCTTCATTTAGTTATGTCTTATGCCCTTGCTACACAATGAAATACACGTTGAAAGGCCTGTAGGCATAAGCACCAACTTTTCTCCCAGTACAATCACAATGTAGAGGAGGACATTGAACTTCAGAGGAACACTGCCGAAGGTTACTCATTTGCTATGATATCAACACATTGGTTTAATGTCTTTGCCAAGTGGACTAAAAATATGCAAACATGAGGTCTGTAATAAATATCATTCCTCTGTTAATGACCTTCTCAGAAACCATAATGTTAACAATTAGATATTGCACTGGGCAGAGAAGGGCCAAACTTGACATGATAAATGATTTAGCATCAAAACATGAAGAAGTCCACTTAAGTACTGTACATAAACTGTATATTCCGGCTTACTGGTATGTTATCCCATTAACCTACAGTTGCAAATGATATACTATGGGCATCTACAGATCACAAACAAACAGCAAAAGAGGGTAAAAAATATATAAAGAGGACACCAAAATAAATACAATACTGTTAATAAATAATAAATAAAGTATTTGGTAATTCCAGGAAGAAAAATATTTGCTGGACAGAGTTGATTGCCCAAGCAGGCCATGCTCTTTGTCCATCATTCAATTATTAGGCCAAATGAAATTCAGATCCCTGCTCTCATCAAATTTTGGAGTCTCATGAACATTTACTATTTGCTATTAAAAAACAATAATTAGTTTTTATTTTAAAAAATAATGGCAATATGAAAGATTTTTGTCAAAGCCTAAGAAGAGATGGACACATAATGGCCGAATACATTATAAATATTAATTTTACTCATTTAATTTAAAAAAAAACAATTTTTTATATAACACTATAGGATAGTAAAGAGCAAATAGTAAATGCCTTCACCAAAAAATAATTTCCCCGATGTGAAACTAACAATTTTATTTTGCTTAAAGCTGTCAACAAGTTTTGTGTGATTTGTCCATATATGGGTATGATGATATCATATCACATTTCTCTATGATGACACCAATATATGGTCAAATCACAGACAAACCATAGCACTATTATATAAACTAAACAAGTGCAAATTATAAAATTAAATTTAATCAAGTAGGGCTGGCTACTACCAAGACACAGGATAATTGTCTCTTTCAAATTACAAACGTATGCAATTGTGTGGAGATTTGAATTAATGTTATCACAATTCTTTGGAAATGAGACAAATGCATTTAATTTGCTTTAGTGCTTATTTCATCTTAACCACAATCTGTTTTCCCTCTTTTTTTATATCTATTGAAAGATCATTAGTTGAGCAAAAACTTACATCCTTATATGGATGTAAGACTGCAAACTTCACAAATCTCACAAGGATGTTTGTTAGTACAATTGAGACAAGATACAATGTTCCTTAAAATAGATCAATTTGTAGAGAAGAGCTCAAAATTGATAACAAAACAGTGGTTGTCTTACTAGAGGGCGCTATCCATATTTCCTAAACATTCAAAGTAAACCTATGTTATTACTGGTACATGCATGGTAAAACATAATATATACCTTAATTGCTCTTAATTCTGTAAATCAGTGAATAATAAAAATACCTATTTTAAGTGCTTACTTTGTATTAACTAATTTGTTAGCTCTGAACTAAAAATATAAAGAATTATTTTACCATATTAACAAATTTATATAGATAATACAATTCCTTTATTACTTTAGAAAATTGACTGATAGTCTCAAGGATTTTGTAGCAAGTCTGCAAATCAGTGAATATTGAATTGTTTGATAACTCTGATATATATACAGTAAGTAAGCATTTGTAATGAGCTATTCAATGTTCTGACAATTATGTTTGACTAATTCCCAGATATACCTTTAAGATAATATTGCAAGAATACTCTGAAAGTAGATTGTAAATATTATGCAGCAAATAACAGTTTGAAGTTCCACACCTGCTGGGATTCAATCACTAATATCAAAGTGAAAATAAAATGTAAAGATGTTAAATGAAATGACCATGATTGATTATAGAAAATTTTAAGGGTTCGTCTATTAGGAAGACAACGGCGCCAGATCTGATGAACAGTGTCAATCAGAGGATAAGGGAGACCCTGAAGGGGCTTTTATGACCTTGGACCTTGCTTTGGAGCTGGGAACCATGGCATAGCAGTGTGTGCGTGTGTAATTGTTATGCAAGTAAAATATAAGGCCATGTCACCTTCTACTGTAAAATGCACACTATCAAATTTTATGTGAAAAATGTGTGTGATGTGCACCACAGATGGGCATAATGATGTCATATTACACCCAAATATGGGCATATCACACAAAATTGGGGACAGAAGTTTAGCATGTAGGCCACTAAAATTGTTAGATTAGTGCCATTGTCAAAGATTTGCAGGAAGCTTTTTCTTATTTATGTGATTTTCAAGAAGGCTGCCAACCATGATCAAGATGAATGTCTTGTATATGATGTAAAGTTTGTAGACGGACAGGCTTTCCACTAATATGACAAGTGGCGTATCTAGGGGAGGTACACACGGCCCTCCAAAAATTACTTGTGCCCCAGTTTCCCCCCACCCCGCCAAAAATCACTCGCAAGTAGTTAAAAATCGCCTTATTTTGTGAGTTAGCACTCCTCAACTGGTCATTGAGCCCCCACTTTACCTTCGCGTCCCCCATCAACACCCCCATTTCAAGACTTCTACATACGCCACTGAAAACGACTTACTAAGCCTAGGCAATTGGCACATTCATTTTAAGACCTCTGAAACTCTCAAGCTAGGACCAAAAACATGTGCCATTACAGAACTTTTTTGTTTGTCATTCCAGTTTCATAATATTTCAGATGATCATTAACTAAAGATGTTCAAATAGACACAAAAATTCTTTCATAGTCAGTGTAATCCATGAATATAATGATACATTTGCCGGATAAATACATTAATCATCTTATTGTATCTGTTTGCTGTTTTTTGTTTTCAAATATTTTACAGGCCTTTTATTGTTTTCAATGTCTTTCATTGTATGCAGCAAGAAAGAATTTCATTTATCACATGTCTGGTTGATGATAATAAAGTAATCTTGAATCATGTCACATCCTCTCACTCATAGAAACAGGCCTATGAAGTCTATATCACCATAATGAAACTGTATTGTTATATCGCATTTATTAATGGTTCATAGATTTGTTTTTGTTTGATTATAATTATGTTTAGGTGTGTTTTTAATTGTTATTTGATATTTGGTATTAAAAACCAAAAGACAAAAAGTGCATACAATTAAACTTTTAATGTCTTAATACTCTCTTCTATCTACATTTCACAGGCAGTTTTCAATATCTGTTTTATATTTTTCAGTGTGTATGCCTTCAGACCTTCAGTTAAATTAGGATGATAATTGCAATGGTGTCAGTAAAATTTTTGTATCAAAATTTGCTCTAAATTTACGTGAACATATAATCTATGTGGTGCCAGCTAGCATTGTACAGATTTTAGGGCAGTTTAATAGGTTATTAAAAGGATGGGTGGATATACTTAACAGGTGTAAGAGATCTGCTGAACAAGGTTTTATGTGTCCACGGGGAAATTAAACAAGTTTGGGAAAGAATATATTGAGTAAAGTATAACAAATACTCTTTCAAGAAATATTATTGTCATTTGAACAACAACAATCAAATATAGCTACAATGTAATGATATATACCTCTGCTTTTTTTGATATGTTGATATGACCAGTATTGCACCTTTGTGAATACTTGGAGTACTGTATGTTCTAAACTGCTATGCTTTGGTTATTGGAAACACTAAAGAATCAGAATATGCAACAGCCTCCTCTCCAATGGGCATATTTCCAGTCATGCATGTAATTCATCACCAGACCAAAACGAATCACTCATATCCTGCCTCTGCCAGATCCTCGTTTACTCCTGGAAGTGCTATAAAAGAGAGAGATGATAAAAGGGGAAAGAGATATATATGATCTCAAAGAGCAATTTCTTTTTTGACCTGCTAAACTTTTTTAAGAATATATCATAATCATACAGTACAGACTATCATGATGTGTGAAGACAAGCATACACAGTATCACATTTGTAAAATTGTCTGTCAGATTCAATCATATTTGATCAGATTTTGTCATGCCTAAATATGGTAATTTACATCACACCATGGCCATATAAAGACACATCATGACTATACATGGGCATACACATTTATATAAAATAAAATTCGATACAGTCCTATCTTTAAGGATTGTCTTAAAGTAAACTTTGACAGACATAAAAAAAATCTGACATTGCATACCCAACATAAGTGCAGTGGTGGATCCAGAAGTTTGCTGACAGTATTCAGTAAGTGTAACAGGTAATAACAAAAAAAAAAGGTGCTTGATTCCTCCAGTCAGGGTCCTGAAGTATTAACGTTGTTTGGAACAGCCAGGGTCCTGGTAAAAACCTTGTTTGGAAAAAAAGATATTACCTTTATAGTTTAGGATGGTAAACCACAATATAATAAACTTTGGTTTGAATGGCAAAAAAATATTTTTAGCCCAACAACCTCAAATCGTGTCGGATGACAAGTCTATTCTTGTTCACAAAGGAAATTTCTCCCTCCCCAACTGCCTGCTAGTGTTGACTCTACCCTTCTTTACTTTTAACCTATTAACTGATCAAATTCTTATGATTCAACTGTTTTTCATGTTAAGCTAACAATGGATAACATAATCAGATGATTCGGATGATTAAAACAATGCATACGAAATACAAAGAACTTTATTGCAATCTCTTATTAACATTATAGCATAAGTCAAACCATAATTGAAGGGGATAAAAACATTAAAAACTACACCACAATCATACCACAAACACATAAAAAAAAAAATCCCATTTAATTAGGATGTGTGTAGGATGAAAAAGGCATCCATATGTATCAACAACCCCATGTTTTTATTATCTGTCTATGCTTGTCTATTCATAACAGCAGAACATGGAAGTAATTATTTAAGCTTGGGTTTTATAATTGAAATAATTCTTTACTCACCTTCCTGTGAGATTTAGAACCCCTAATGCTCTGTACATAAGTCTCTTGAGGTGTGGAGTTGTTTTTGATTCATATTTTGTTGCCAGGATACAATGCAGGAACGTGGGATTGAAATGCAAGCTCCACTTGTTACCTTTGTTTGCAACTGTCAAAATTTGTGGGTGATGTCACTCACCAATGATGAACATTAATTATTATTTTTAATTGGTATAAATTTATATGTAATGACTTCCATCTGGATTTGAATATATGACTTATGACCTGCTGAGCAACAGTTTTCCAGGATTTGACCAATACAAAAATTATGCTGCCTGACAGGGACTAAAAATTTCTACCTAAACCCAGCAGGATCTAGGGGTGAAGCCCTGGTGGGGCCCAGGTTAGAAAATTGGGTAATTTTGGCCCATTTTAAACTGTTCTGATGAATTCAGCAAAAATAATAATTTGCTTATCCAAGTAACATTATTTTATTGCCAATCCCTAATATTGTGGTCTAAAAGCAATTTTAGGACCAAATTAAGCCATAAAAACTCTCCCTGTGAACCCCAACAGAGATTTTTTATTCCGGGCTGTCGACCACTTGGCTCACACCCTCCATCGGACATGTTGGACCCCTTGTCAGAAAATTTCTGGTGCCATTGCTGGTCCAATAGGGCACATCTGGGATATCTGGTTTAATGAGCTTTCTCAACACATTTAAATTAATTTTATGGGATTATAGAATAAGTCAATGGCAGATAAAGTGTGGTAGCATTATCCGGTCTATGGGCCTGCGGCCTTTTCTTTTCTTGGCGTGTATGAAGATGGGCAAAGTAAGTACAAAATGAACTAGGCCTAAATTTAACAGTAACATAATACATATTTTGTTAAACATGATGATTCATGATATTGAACAGAATTTTTACTTAAACTGCAGACCATAACAACTACTATTTGTTCTGGAAACTCCTTGATTTAAGATTGTAAGTTGCATAGTGGCTTTAGCATTTTGCGCTAAAATGTATTATAATTAAAAACTACCAAAGCAAAGATACAGAAACAAAGCACCCACGACCACTACACTAATCTGCCCGGACAGTATTTATTCCCCATCGTGCACCCACTTTATTAAACTGATGGTAAATGTCAGATTAATTTCCACGAATAATGTTAACTCTAATTTATGGAGTATATTTCTTCAAGGCCAATTTTGGGTGAATTATAGCAACATAGAAAAAGTGGGACAACCAGTGCACAATTGTCTAGAGAATTTTGTCATTTCAATTGGATAATTTATGAGGTAAATACTAGTGAAATTCAGAAATAGAGGAGCTAAAGAATATGAATAGACAATTGATTCACAAAGTTAAGCTTTGAATAATCATGAGATTACAAGATTGTGGATGTTGAGTAGGCACCAAATCATGGGGTCAAGAAATTTAATTCCATAGAGAGGGAACAGTTCTCGATCAGTCACAAACTGGATGAATAATAATAATGTCCATGGTCATAGATGAGCTATTCTATTATAAGGGGAAGGGAAAACCAATCCTAGCCAACAAATTACGAATGAAAACTTATTTAAATGCTCCACTATAGTAGAAAATGCATTTTCCTCTTCCTTCCCTCTATCCCATTGTCATCCTTATGCATCCACACTTTGGAATATATTGCCAAAAAGCAGTCCTGACAAAATGAAAAAAGCAAAACACAAAAAAAAAAACCTGATTACAATTGATTGATTGGTTGTTTGATTGATTGATTGATTGATAACAATTGAGTTTTGTCCTAACTTGGAGAATGATTAATGCAGCAGTTGCTTAGGCTTTCAACCTTGTGGTTGGAGTTTTCCCAGTGTCTCGCCAGAGCTTTTCGGTGTTTCACTTGTGCCCTTGGGCAGAGCCCTTAACGAACATGTTCTCATTCCACCCAGGAGTAAGGGAGTACCTGGTGGAATCTACTGATTCTATGGCTTTTGACCTAATGACAAGGGGATGGGTAATAATATATAAGTGCTTGTTTATATATATAATATATATATATATAATATATGTTTATTGCAACATTATTACTGTGGAATCAATTAAAAAAAAAAGAAATGAAGAGAACATACTGAAACTTTTCTCCCTCCAGTTTCATGATAGTAGATTTGTTTTAGCATAGTGCTGGATCCAGGAATTTGTGAGACACTTTTTATATATCCAGAACACCTCTGCCCTACCATATTTTAGGCTGAGGTACAAAATGTGTATGGCTATGGCAATAATGTAGTGGGGGTTGGCAACCCCCCTTAAATTCATCCCTGGTGCTAATTCAATTTGAATTGCTTTTCTAAATAATAACGAAGCTATAATACATAATCACAGGCAAAATCTTATTTTAAAAATGTCTGAAATGTTCTACATATAACTTAGTTAAGAGGAAATAAACATGTTAAACTTTAAAATTTATATCTCCAATCTTATGACTTTGACATTATAACCATGTCTATAAAGGGATATCCATTTATCATCCATTGAAATCTGAATATGCCCTGGAGATGTTAAGCAAGCTACCAAGGATATAAACTTCACTGGGTCACGTTCCAAATATGCAGTTAGACAAGTCGTTTCCTCAAGGACTAGTATTCTTTTGATGTTCCCGAAAAGTCAAAATTGGCTAATAAAAACAATAAAATTCAGAGAATTATCTTTATTCTAACTTGGTATAAAATCATATTTTTAGAATATATGCATATATGACCAACTTACAAAACTATTTTAAATATCAATAAACTTATACTCGATACAGACCTTGATTCACAATCAAATAAAAGAAATATTCATTGTGTTGTATTCCAGACTAGTTTCTTCAGCATGTACTGCGGTCATAGATAATTACCATAAAAATTAATAACCCAATAGCATGTGACTGACAAATTGCATCATGAAACTTTCGCTCATTCTTAAAACCATGGAATATTTTTCCTAAATTTATCCATGCTCTAGATTTTTATTTTTCAGTTTCAACAGACAATGTATATGATAATTTTTTTGACACTAGAAAGTTGTTTGTTAACAACATAATATGTAAAAAAAATAGAATTAATAATAAAATAATTTTTCCTTTCTTTTGGAAGAGAGAGACTCTAATCAACGAAAATCTGATTAAATATTAACTGTTTGTTGAGGCTAAATGTGGTTATGATGACATCACATCATGACCATATATAGGTACATCATGACTATATATGGGCATACAAAAGTTTTTTGTCAAAGAAAAGTTGATAATTTGGACAAGGCTTTACAGACAAAAATCTAATATTGTTTATATAGGCATATAGTACTTATAAATGGCTAAACAAGTACATAGAGGAAATATACTTGACTTATTGATGCAATTAGATAAAAATGGTAATTTTCCTTGTAAGTATTATCCCTTTGTACTTTCTAAGCAGAACTGGCCTTGTGAAAACCACCAATTACTATATTGCGATACAAGTTGTTACTTTTATTATGCATTATTATAGAGATGAGCGGATGTTTTTCTAATGGGCGGCAGACAACTTATAAAACATTTGCTAATTGACTTTGAACATATACAATACACATTTTTTTTTCATTTCTTTAGGCACGAGCACCAAGGATATGCCAATAAGTGAACTTAATCACCATCCTACGTGGCATATCCATATAACAACAGGGGACTTAATGGACCAGTACACCGGGGTAACCCCTACTCTTCTTGAAGAATGTATTGGGCTCTTTAGAATGCACACGAGCCAAATGCGTACACTGTAACCATTGGGAGTGAGCCGTTGGAACCAGCACCGATATTAGAGCTGAAGGTTATGGTGCCCCTGATTTAACGGCTCGGCCAATCAACTCGAAAATTTTTTTTTTTTATAAGAACCGGTAAAATTTTGCCCAGGCTCAGTGATCTTACTTTTTTGCAGATTTCAGGCTTAAAATGTTCTTATTTTCTTCTGATTTTTACACACATTTTAAATATAGAAAATGACTATTCTACAGCAATAAACTACTTTGTAGTACCAAGACACCTGAACAATATATTTGCAAGAGAAATATTTTTTTACTTGACTTAAATACAGCTTTTATTAATATTTTTTGCTTCAATTCAAAAAGTGATAACTTTTCAAGCTAAAACAACATACTATCATGCTAAATAAATGCCGGTGTTGGTCACACCTCAGTTATTTAAAATATCCTTTACTAAAAAGAATAAAATAATTCCATGGTTAAATTATTTATACCTTTCCTGAATAT